CCTTTGGACAACGGTTAAAAATTAAAGCGGGGGCTTTGGAAATAGTTAGGAAACAAGCTAAAAAAATTGTTAAAAAAAGCGAATAATATGTATAAAAAGTATTATAATAAAAGCAAAACCCCGGTGCTTTTCGGGGTAAGCGATTGGGTATTGCTAAATACGGCAAACATTAAAATAAAAAGGCCGTCGAAAAAGCTATTAAATAAATGGTTGGGACCTTTTTAAATTTTAAAAATGGTTGGGTTAGCCGGTTTGGCGTTTTGGTTAAAGCTTTCGGTAAATTACCGGATATATAACGTATTTCCGGCAAGTTTGTTACGGGCGTTTAAAAAAAAAGCCCGGCAAAAAACCAAAAAATAAAAAACCAAAAATCGAAAAAAAAAAAAAGGATTGTTTTAAAGTAAAAGCTTTGCTAAAATATAAAAGGCTTTTGCGAAAACGAAAATATTTGGTTAAATGGATAGGTTACAACGAATTGGAAAATTTATGGATTCCAAAAAAGGATATTACGAAAAAAATTGTTTAAGCGTATAAAGCAAATTTATTAAAAGCAAGCTTATAGGATAAAGAAAATACCGAACTTTAGCGGGTAAATACCCGGAAAGGACGGGGGTATTACAGGAAAAAAGTAATAAAAGCTAAAGGAATAGCCCAAAAAAATGTTTTAACGTGCCGAACCGGTTAATTACCGGGGAAAAACGTAAAAAAACCCGTAAACGGTTTGTAATAGCCGTAAAATATCGTGCTTTATAAACAAAAAGTTAAATAAGGACGGTATAGTACGGGGAACGCTTTAAATTAATAATGCGATATATTTAAATTTTAAAGGATATGCAAAGTGTAGCACATTTCGGAAAGCCCGTAAGGGGCATGTTTAACGCGATACGCTAAAGCAATTACCGCATTTTAAACGTACGTTATAATAAAAAATATTATTATTTGCCCGAAAAGGAAATGGAAAAATTTTCGGATAGCATAACGGACGGGCCTAAGCGTTTAGGTAACGGCAAATGTATATCGGCAATATTTAAATTTATTAAAAAAACGAAAAAAAAGCATTTTAAAATTATTTATTGGGGCATTAAAGCTTAATTAGTAAATATAAATACCGGGATTTCGCAATGCTGCAAAAGTAGCATAACAAAAGGAAATTATGGTTTTAATTATAACAAATTAACGAAAAAAATTTAAAATTAACCATTTTTCGAAAAGGGAATACCAATAATTAATTAAAAAAATATGTAAAAAAAATTAATTAAATGCCGTATTTAAAGGAACCAAAATTTCCGGAAACCACGTCCTTTTTGCTGGCGTTACAATTATTGCCGTTAAAGTTGTTAGCGCCGAAAGCGCCATTTCCCGGCGCTAATACGAACGCCGTACCCTTACGGGAAACCGCGCAATTGTAAGCTTAAATATCCAAATGCGCCGCAATCGTAGCAAAGCTAGCAGCAATGCTATTAAAAAAAGTAACTATACCTTTTTCGAAACGTTTAAAAAACGCTTTTACTTTGTTAAAAAAATTATTAATACTAATTAAAGCTTAAATTTGCTTTTTTATTTAAACGGCGATAGCGTAAAGCTATTGGGAAATATTTTAAATAGCTTTTAATGTTATAACGCTAGCAATTTTGCGCTGGATGCGTTTTTGGATAACGGTTTAACGTTTGTAACGCGCAAATTATTCGGCCGATATGGTATGGAAGGATTTGGTTTTTTGGATAGCTTTGCGGGCGCGAAATTAAATTTTGGTAAGCTTTTTGAAAAATTCCGGTATTGCTTCGAACAACCGTTTGTAAACGGTATTTAAAATTTTGTAAAGGTTTTGGGCCATTTTTTAAAACCATTTAAAAAGTTTAACGCAAGCTTTATTGCCAATTACGTTTTTGCAATAAATACATTTGGAAAACCCCGTACAATTATCGGAGCATATCGGCATACGGGGGTCGACGGTATAATTTTAATATGCTTAACAACCAAAATAACGGTTATAAAATACCGTACGTTCCGTATAATTATTTTTAAAAAAAGGCAAATAAATAAGGTTTTAATTATTGCTTTATTGGAAATTAATAACTTTTTGTAACGGAAGCGCGTTGCAAATACTTATATAAAGCGAAAAAAAGGCAATGTCCGTTTCGGGGGCAAATCCATTAAAATCGAAAACGTTGCGGTAGCGTTCGTTACGCGTTTTACGCTTTTTTTTGGCAAAGGTTTTTTTGCCGCAACGGTTAAAACCCGCCGGGGGGTTATTGGTAAAACGTTTGCGGGAATTTTAAAAGGTTATAAGCGCAAAAGGGCCCGATAAACCCGCGATATTTAAAGGGTTTACCGGAAAGTTACCGGCAAAGCGATCGTTAAGGATTTAAAGGATTAAAAACTTTAGCAAAACCAAATTCGAATCCGATTAAATTACGATAGCTAGGAAGGATACCGGGGGGTTGCTAAAAAAGGCCAGCGGGCCGGTTAAAACCAAAAAACCCGAAGCAAATACCCAAAGGAATATTATTTTCCTTACGTAATTGGGTACAAAGGATAATATTTGCAATTACCGGTTAAATTTAAGTATTTAAAAAAAGCGGTTAAATACCAATTACTTACGGTTACAATCGTTAAAATTGTTAAAATGGTTATTAAATGCACAAAAAGGAAAAAAAAAAGCTCGTAATTTTAAACGGGAAAAAAAGCTTTTTATATACCGGTACGGACCCATTTTTTTAAATGCTATAAAGCTTTATAGCCGGTTTTTTTAAGCGTTGCCGGGCATTGGGGCGGTTTGGCGGGATACCGTAGGTTACTGGCTACTTACGGGGTCGCACGCGCGGTATAAACGGCCTAAAATAAGCCGTATCGGGAAAAGGCAATATGTTAAAAGCACGGGCAAAATTGCCCGGCAAAAAACGGAAAGCGTTAAATGCACGGGCAAAACCGCCCGGCAAAAAAAAAAAGGGCGCTAGCAGCCAGCCGGGCACGAACCCCCCGGGAATATACCGACGAATTACCGGTATCGCGGCCAAAGCATAATAGCAAAATTAAAAAATAGGGTAAAGCTTAAATTGCACGAAAGCGTTTGGAGCGCGAAAAATTTAAAAAACCGACCCCGGGTGCCCGAAAGGGCACGAAGGAGGGGGAAGTTAAAAAAGGAACAATTTTTGTTAGCGATAGCACCTTTGGTAGGAAATTTACGGAGGCTTAACAAAGGAAACACCGCATCCGGCCCGTAACCCGGTAACTACCCGCCTTTGCACCGATTAACCCCTAACAGGGAGGTTAAAAAAAACAATTTTTGTTGGCGATAGCACCTTTGGTAGGAAATTTACGGAAGCTTAACAAAGGAAACACCGCATCCGGCCCGTAACCCGGTAACTACCCGCCTTTGCACCGATTAACCCCTAACAGTTGTACATATATTTGCTATAGGGCTTGTCGATAATAATAAAGCTTTTTTTAATGCTGTAAGTTACTTTGTTGTAAGAATTAACGCTTCGGAAAACCGTTGGGATAATTTGGATTTAATTAATTTACTTTTGCACACGTAAAATAAAAAGCCCGGTGTTTCCAGCAGGATTTAAACTTGCGTCCTTTAAAAAGGACTTCTTAACGCTAAACCACTACGTTGCGAAAACTTGACAGTATAATATAAAATCGCCAAAATATTTTTACTAATTTTAATAATAAATAAGCATACAGCAGCATATGCAGCTAACTCCGAATAAAAAAAATCTTTTTTTTTTTGTAAAAACTCCTTATCGCAAAAAATGCCGTATTTAACACTTAAACAAATAAGTACAACTTTAACTATTACCTTAACACTTGCGTAACCCTTTTTGTTAATATTTATAAATAAATTAAAAATCCTAACGGAAAATACATTTTTTAACTGCGTAATATAACCAGCACCGGCAAATTAATGTAAGGGGATCTGACAGGGAAGCGGTTAAATCACCGCCTCAAGCGCCACAAAGGGTGCTTGAGCCAACAGGCACGAGCCTCCCCGCGGGGCCCATGGGCTTCAGGTCACAAGGGGCCGACACGTAACTAGGGCCAAAAAGGCTATAGGTCAAAGCCAGCTTGTAGGAGGCAATTCAGGCTAATTCCTCCACAAGCTGAAGTTGTTGTTTCTACCTTATAGTGATATAGGACTTCAAACCCAATTAAACCTTCTGCTTTATCGTGATCACCTCGTACGGCCTTCGGCCTAACCCTGTAACAATTAACCATTTTTAAACAACAGCTAAAAAGCTTTTTGCAGTAAAAATGCTTAATACAAGCTTTTTTTTTTAAAAAAAAAAAAAGGTAAGGTTAACCGCGGCAGCGTAATTATATTCTTTACTATTATATTTGCCTAGCTCGTTTATTAAATCCCGGTTTTGTTATTACATATTTAAAGCGCAAGTAAAAACAATCCAGCTATTATTAATAAAAATAAAGATAATGTCGGATCGATATTCCGGCGCATGCAATAAGGGAAAGATTTACTTGTTTTGGGCCAAAAGAGGATTTGATTATAGGGCTTGGGCCCCTGTAAGCCCCGTGGCTTGGGCCCGTGGCGTGGCTCGTAGCTTGTGCCCGTGGCTTGGCCCCAGGGCCAAGCCCGAGGGCACGGCCCCCAACCCCTGTATATAAACCCTACCTCTGGCGCCCTTTCAAGGCCAGAGGTTCTTCCTCCCTATGCTCAACACAAGCATGCACAATATAGGACCTTTCCCCAGATCACCAAGATCTTGTTCATCACTTTTGGAGATCTCCAAGCCGTCTAACTGTTACAGTCAGGCCTCTGCTCCTAAGGTAAGGCACCAGAGGAGTGTCGAACAGTAGCACGTGACTTGACAGGTTGAAGGGATTCACAAGGTAACTTGGGTGCGGTCTGAATGCTTGCTCCAAGGGATACTTGGAAGCTAACTTAGATTGACTGATGCCGGTGCATCTATCAAGGACTATCTGGGACGGTAGGAAACCCTTCCTCTTATACCCTGATGCCTACTCCCTTGTCCTCCCCTTAAGAGCGTGGATTAGTTGGCTCGTCAGGCCGACTCCGTGAGCCTCCCTGAGCCTCCTTTGGATCAGTGGCTCACCTCTCCTGCTTCCCTGATCCACTGATCCCAGGTGGTCACGTGACCCCATACCCCTCACGGTGGTTTCGTGCCGTGCCACCCTTCCTTCCTGGGTGAGGGTGGTTGTTGGTCGTAACACTAACAGGAGTACCAGACTCCTACCAACAAATAACCATTTTTTTTTTAAATTATCAAACAAATGCAAAATTGCTAGCTCCCCGCTGTTTGCCGTAATTGTAAATTCTTTAATAAATGCAATAAAAAATAACGTTAAAACTTTTATACCTTTTTTTTTAAAGCTAAAAGAATTACGCTATTCCGTTTCCGATTTTTTGTTGCTAGCAAACCTAAATTGCTTATTTATTTTGGGTTTAAAAATATTAATAACAGTTACTAAAATTTAACCCTTTATAATATTCTTAAGCTTAATATTAAAAAAAAAACATTTCTACATTTTTACCCTCGGAATTAGCCCGCGTCCAGCAGGATTTTAACAAAACCGTGTTAAGGCCAGGTTTGCTATTTAATTGCCTTTTACCCACCAGTTTTGAAAATTTTGTTAATATGGCTGTGCCGCTTTTTATCTTCGCATTAACGGCTTGTCGCTTTATTGCCGATAGCAACTTCGGCGACCCTGGGAAGCAGCTAACCAAATCCTCGCCATACACTTTATCCTGGCCGTTTGGGCTTGGAAGCAGGCTGCAGGGTTGGAATGCTCCGGTTGGGTGGGATTTTCTTTTTCTGCTGCAAGCCTGCCCTTGCGAGCGCACGAAACATAGCAGATGAAAAGAAATAAAAAGGGCAATACACTCGATGAGTAGGCAATCGGACGGGACTGTCTCGAATAAAACCCAAGGTCATGATGGAGAGCGCTGGCATGGAGACCCGGTTTGTGTGTTGTTGTCGAGAGCGCGTGTTCGTTTGGCCTCGTCGTCGGCTACACTTATCGCCCATCTAGCCCTTGTTGTTGGCGACCCCGCACACCACACACCGGTTCGAGAGCCCACTAATAAATAAAGTCATGTCGAGCTGTCGCCATCGCCCGGCAAGCACATCCCGGCGCCGGCTGGGACCCACTATGCAGAAGATATCTGGGCCGGATTTCCAACAGGGGAGGCTGCCACCCAGCTTGCAGCACCCATCCCCATCCGTCCAAACCAAAGGATGCAGGCCTCGCAGCGGCTTGTGTGGAATTTGACGTTCTTTCCCAAACTGGCGACATCTCAATGTCAGCTATCCCAATAGAGACGGGCGATCTGCCCACTCTCCATCCTGCGCACTTTGCCTGCGCAAACAAAGGATGCAAAAGGGCCAAGGATGGCGATCCGTCCACCAGCAAAGCCGTCATGGCCTGCACCCGCTGTGGTCCCGTCGCTGTAAGGTCGTCGTCGTGATCGTCAGAGACCTCACATGCTTCGAAATGTACAACTGACAAAGTTATTCCCTCGCATTAATACTGCTGCGAAGAATGCAAGGAACATGACGCCAAGGAGCACAAGAAGGACTGCGAGTCCGAGCTACTCAAGGTGACCCGGGAGCGCCGACAGCCCACCTTCGTTTCCGAGGACGATAACCCAACGATGGTCGGCACCTTCAAGTACCTCTGGGGCAACGTTCCGGCTATCGATATTGTCAAATTGAGGGAGAATGAGGGAGTCGATTTCAAAGGAGACCTGTGCCTGCTCTTTCCTGGTATGCCTGCTACACCGACCCACGCTCCGACTGTCCTTTTCTTTCCCCCAATGCGGTGTGCTTGTGGCGCTTTGGAACCGCATGCAGGAGCTAACCCCAAGCTCTTCCAACTTCAGCTTCTGGAAACCTGCGCAATGTCATGGTATCGATTGGTCGGCTGCCTTAGACGTACAAGAACGAAGTTTCGGCCGTACTTAATGACAAGGAATTCGATGTGGTTGCCCGCAACGTCATATTATTTCCGAATGGTGGGAGATGGGAAGAGGAGATAAGATTGTCTGCTCGGATAAAGGAAATTATTAGGAAAGCCTGTAAGGATCCAAAGGTATCGGCGGAGAGATAGTTTCGCGGATTACGGTATTCGGAAGAAATGTAATGCCGCCGACCTTCATCCTGCAGCATAGTCGACCAATTGAGGTAATTAGTACGACTGCGGACAGATTACCAAAAAACCTTACGTTAGTGCACCCCCAGTCCGACCACCCCCCCTTCCGGACACCTTGTACACACAAACTTACTGTTTTCATAACGCATTTAAAAATCGTATAAAAATGGTATAAATATATAATAACCAGCATTATATAGTTAAAAGCATAGAATTTTACAAAATGTATTAAGTTTATATTTATTTGCAGTATTTACAGTATAAATTGGATTTAAATTAATATACGTGAAAATGTTAGTGTTTTTTAACAAATTGCATACAATTTATAACATTATAAAACATGTAATAACTTTTTAAATAAATATGCTATTTATATAAAATAATTTATGTTATATATATAAAATCCTGGGATTTTTATTTTAAAAAGTATAACATTACGTAATTTTTATATATTTAATTAAAATTTAATAACGAAAAAAGGTATGTTTACTGTGCAAAATACTGTGCGGTTTTAAAATATAAGCTTAAATATACAAATTACGTAAATAAGAAAGTATTTACGTAAAAATTTACATTTTTAAAAGTTAAATGCAGGTTATTGCATATATATAACGTATATATTAACAAAGTTATTTATAATTTAATATTGTTATAAAATACATACATTATGTTAAGAAACCTTAACAGTTTTTTTAGTTGCAGTTTATACTTTATTAAGTATATATAAATATAATTTGTAATACGTTATATAAAAGCTCCCTTTCCCAGCTATATAAAAACGGTTACTTTATACTTATACGATTTTTATACGATTTTTAAATGCGTTATGAAAACAGTAAGTTTGTGTGTACAAGGTGTCCGGAAGGGGGGGTGGTTGGACTGGTGGTGCACTGACTCAACAGACGCAGAGTTTTCACACACCCAATCGACCGCGGCTGTGATGCCCTCATCGGCCTCCGCGGCGGCGGCATTGACGCGCGGCCCTGCGCGGGCCCAGCCATCTGGCCTGGGTGGGCCGCAGCACGGAACAGCGGCCGAAGCGGCCATACTATGGCACCAGCGAATAAGGATGCAGCTGCACGACGCCCACCCGGAGATGGAGCCGCCCTCGGACAGCGGCGGCGTGCGTGCTCCTGCCGAAGCGCTGGAACGAACATCCGTAACTGAGGCACCGACGCCTGAGGTGACGGCACGCAGCTGAACCGAGAGAGGTGTCGCGACTCGCGGGGCGACCGCGTGCCGGAACGGCTGTCCGCGGGAAAAAAATACGCGCTTTCGACGTAGCACTCGAAATTAATCCCTGCGCGTCTGGGAGGCGTTATACACGTAAAATCGCGATCCAGAGGACCAGGCAACAGCCGACGCAGTGGAAACTGGTTGATTAATCTGCGGGTACTCTAATATGCGGTTGCATTTACGGTGAGCGGTTGACGCAAGTCGCCGTTTACGCCAGCACCCCCGCCTCGTCACCTTTTGGCCACCGTTAACTAGCCAACAGCAACATCCAGTGGTCGCGAGGGCTAATCCCACAAAGCACCCCAGTTGCCATACGAAGCTGCCACCATTTAACACATGAGGTATGCAACATTCTTTCACATTCTTGGGCTCTTTATTTGCCATGTTTTAGGTATATAAGTAAGGGCAGGCAGTAGGTGGTGGGCGGGGAGATGGTAAAATCGGCATTCAAGAAGTTTCAGCGACCAGTTGCAGTGGCATCCGCCCTCGGCCGTCCTTCGCTTTATCGACGCGCATTTGGGCCTAGCCCCGGGCGTGATAAATTCTGTTTATTAGGCTGTCATTTACTATTTGCCTCTCAGGTTCTTATCACCTTACGCATAACTCCCGTATGTGTTCCTCCCCAGCGAAGAGCCAACAATGAACGAGCAGCTATGCGTTCGACGGAGTTTGTTGTTCATATACCTGCGACTCGGTGGTGAACCACGTTAATAATTTGCGAGCACAAAATACATGTTGATAACAGGGCAGCGAGCATTGCAGGGCAGATGTTGAAAACATCCTTGCGCATAATCTAGTCCCTCAAGCGTCGTTTGTAAAGGAGAGCGACCACCGTGGGCTGGATGTTGAAACCCATCCCCCGCGCACTACGTCGAAAGCAGATCCAAACCAAAGCGAGAATTGCGGGACGCCTGTTGAAACTCGTGTCCTGTGCACAAGCTCCTAGACGGAAGCGTTAAAGAGGGCGACAGTTGCGGGATGGATGTCATCCCCTTGTATAACACCTCAGGTGCCCGTTTCCGACACCCTGTCCGACGCCCATATTGCCGTCACGTCCAAGCAGCGTAGGCAGTTAGCCCGATCAGATCTTGGACCATCGTAGTAGCATGGCCGCAACGATGACAGGTAAGACACTGACGAGCTCGCCTAAGCCGGCAAACTCGGGCGGGATCCTCGCGTTGACAAATGCACCAGCGGCGAGCAGGATGGCGAACAGGTTGTAGACGAAGCTCCAGCTAAAGTTGAAGACGACCCTCTGAATCGACTTCCTGCTCACGGTGATGGCGGTGGGGATCCCCCCGAGGTTTGGACGCATGAGGACGACGTCGGCCGCGGATCGGGCGACGTCGGTGCCTCCTTCGTTCATGTGCACGCCGATGGTGGCCTGGGCCAAGGCGATCGAGTCGTTGGTGCCGTCGCCGCAGAAGATGACGACCGGCTTCTCGGTTTTCTTGCTCTCGGCGTTGGTGTGGTTCGGAGAGGCAGGGCCTTCGAGAAGGTCCTGGATGTATGCTTGTTTGTCTGCGGGGGTGCAGCGAGGGCGGACGTTTGTCTCGGCAATGTTCAGCTGGGCTGCAACGGAGCGCACGGCGCCATCGTCATCGCCCGAGATGATATGGACCGATATGCCGCGGTCGAGCAGGATCTTGATTGTAGAGGCGGCGTCGGGTCGGACCGAGTCTTCGAGACCGAAGATCGCGGCCACGGAACCGCCGATCGTGAAGCAGAAAGCTGTGTATCCTTGCGACAAGACAGACTGCGCGACCGCATCTGAAGTAAGGTTCCTGCCTGGAGGGTCAAGCCGGTACCCTTCGCAGTGCCTTCGACTGTCAGGGTCTTCGGGTCAGACACCTGGGAAGGTGTCACGCCTTGGGCTTTGAGATGCCTAACCACCGCGGCGGAGACAGGGTGCTTGATGCTCCCCACCAGACCAAGAAGCAGCGACTGGGTCGCGTTCTGGTCGCTGCCACTGTGCCATTCCCGGGCCGCGGTCAGTTTGCCTTCCGTGATCGTGCTGGTCTTGTCAAAAACAACATGCGACGTCTTGTAGGCGATCTCGATGCTCCCCGCCGATTTGAAAATCACGCCTCGCTCAGCCGCAACACCGCTAGCGATAAAGATGACCATCAGGACTGCGAGGCCGATTGCACAAGGACAATCGTAGCCTCGCTTCCAGGTTGCCCGCGAACTTTGACACCGATACCAGTTATGCAGCAAAAATCTGTTCCCACCGACCCACCCTAGTCCCCTCCATTTTCTTTTCCTTTTACAATACCAAAATACCAATTGCAGTACGTGCTTTTGGTGCCGTTATAAACGGAAATCGCGGTAAAAACAAAAAATTTATTCCCGAGCAACGTGCATTTATTGTTGGTGCTGTAGTGGCCGGCCAATTTTACACCGCCGTAGCACGCGCGGTGGAATGCACAGAAACAGAAAGTTGGGCAGCGAGATGCTGTACTTGACTACCAGCTTGTTGCAGTGCTCGCCCTCGGCGACAAAGTGGTACAGCACGCAGTTGGTGGTCGTGTTGGGCGCAGTGTTTGGCGGCACTGGCGGCACCGTCTGCACTGGCGGGCCGGTCGTGGTCGGGTAAGGCGAGATCGTGTAGTCGGGCTCCCCCGGCGGCGACACGCGAATGGAGTCACCGATGGAGTTTTTCATGGAGCGGCATAGGTCGCCGAGGATCGGGTTCCCTGGGTGGGCGGCCGTCAGTAGAACATCCTCAAGCAGACACCACCAAGGCCTGCGCACTCACATGTGGTCAGCTGGACCTGGGCAAGGCCCCTGGGCTTGGCAATGCTGAGGCACGTGTGTTTGCCTTGGCTGTGTAGAGCGCGCACTTGCTCTAGATGCACAGGCTGCCGTTCGTCGGGAAGTCGGCGCAGAAGGCAGGGAGCCCGTTGTCGTAGAGCAGCCAGGCCGCGACCACCCCTTGGGACTGATCCGCAACTCATCTTGTAGCGCTAGGAGTAAGCCAAACCTCTTCTCAAAATAAATGCCATGCACAAAGCTGCTGCCCTGAGAGAACTGGCTACGGATGCTAGCAGACCACACATGGAGAGATAGGCAAATGAGGGAAACACGCCGAGCCAAGACACCGGGAGTATCTCTATGAGAGTGCGGAATTGTCAGGCACGAAGAAGGGCTCGGGCGCAGAGCTCACTCACTGCCGAAAACGAGGAAACAACGGTCCATGATGAGCCACGGAACCAAGGCTCGCACGGGGAGCCACACAGATCGAGCAACGGCTGCTACCTGGCTAATAGCCGCCTTCGCCGTAGTGGGATCGAGGTTATTGCAAAGCGGAGGCGCCTAGCGACTCGAGGCGACTGCTCGGCGACGACCGGGAGCCAACGGCGCGTTGCATTCGAGCCCGTATCCCCCTCCTCCAAGCGGACCGACCACGTCCGCGTCCAGGCCGGCTTCCCGCATATAGGCTCAGGTCGACCCAGCACCTCTCGTCGGCCGGCGTCGCCCCGACTACTCCCCGAAGTGGACGGCGATGGAGGGGCCGTGGGAGTAGAGGGCGGGATGCGAAGTGTAGAAGCTGGTGTCGCAGTGCCAAGGCGAGAGAGACGGCAAACGGTTGGAGGTTCCGTTGTCGGAACGTCGCATTCTGCCCAGCCCCGATGTCACGTCGCCGCCGCCGTACCGGATAAGGGCGAGAAGGCAATATCGGGCGGCGGAACCTAAGCTCGGCAGCGCTCGATTTGAGAGGGCGCTCCTGGGGGCGGCGCGGGCGATGTAGGTTCAAGTGCCGGCGAACGCCCATATCAGATGCCGCTCGATCGCCGATAGATGGATCGCAGCCGCGCGCCGATCACGAGCACGCGCCCTGGCGATCGATATTGCGAGTATCTCAACGGCGTGGCCAGGCTCGCGTGCGCCCGCCCCCAACGTGCGGATATAAAGTCGCCCGCTAGTCCGTCACCGGGGGAAGATCTAGCCCTCCTGTCTGCTCCCAGACACAGCCTCGCACTTGCCCCCCTGTCTGTAGCGTGACCTGAGCTCTCACAACTCAGCTAGGCTCCCTCTGTCTCCCCTCTCACCACCTCCCCCTGATCCTCGGCGTGCAAGCGACGATGCAGCTCAAGCTCGCGTCCCTCGCCACGTGGGTGCTGGCGGCCCTGCCGGCGGCGCAGGCGCACTACCGGTTCAGCAAGCTCATCGTGGGCGGGCGGCTGTCGGGCGACTGGGACTACATACGCGAGAACAGCAACGGCATCATGCCGACCAAGCAGTTCCTGCGGCCCAGCGACGACTTCCGCTGCAACTCGGGCTCCTTCGCCAACGCCGGCCGCACAAAGGTCGCAAAGGTGGCGGCCGGCGACCGCCTCGGCTTCGAGCTGTGGTACTACGCCACCATGCGGCACCCGGGGCCCCTGACCATCCACATGTCCAAGGCGCCCGGGGACGTGCGCCAGTACAGGGGCGACGGCGACTGGTTCAAGGGTGAGCACGCGGCGGCTGTTGCTTACCACCCCCTCGTCTTATTACTAGTATAACATGTTTTGCCATCAAGGCTCCAAGCTAACGGACAATGATTAACCACCAACGACACAGTCCACCAGATGATCATCTGCCGAGGCCCGACGGGCGGATACCTGGACGACAAGGACTGGTGCACCTGGGATCAGGCCCAGATTCACTTCACCATCCCCAAGGACACGCCCCCCGGGCAGTACCTCGTACGCATCGAACACATCGCCCTGCACGGGGCCAAAAGCGGCGACACCGAGTTCTACTTCGAATGCGCGCAGATCGAGGTTACGGGCAACGGCAACGGACGACCGGGCCCCATGGTCAAGATCCCCGGGCTCTACGACTCCAACGACCCGGCGCTGCGCTACTTCATCTACGGCGCCCGCAATTACCCCTACACCAACGTCGGCAAACACGCCGTTTGGACAGGCGGTAACGGCGGCGGCGGCTCCAACACCAGCCCGGCCCCCAACAACCCGGCCCCCAACAACCCGGCCCCCAACAACCCGGCCCCGAACGAGCCGTCCAGGCCGCCCAGCGGCGGCGCGGGCGCCGCCGCGCCGCTGTGGGGACAGTGCGGCGGGAGCGGCTGGAACGGCGCGACGCGGTGCTCCGAGGGGTCGTGCAAGGCCTCCAACGAGTGGTACTCGCAGTGCGTGAAATGAGGTGGCTTGAACAATGGGGTGGAGGGCGGCCCTGTTTCTCTGTAGACACGCGGTCGGGAAGCTGTTGGCTTGCGGTGGCCGACATGTCAAGTCCGTGCCGGAACGCCGCCTTTCGAGAGTTGGACAGAGCGATAGCCAAACAAGCCGTGCCAAGTATGTGCCCCATACAGTGTGCTCTGCCCTGCTCGGGACCGATGTCCTTTTTTTTTGTTTTCATCTTATGCGCTCCTGCTATGCCAGCAAGATGTTGCCGAGAACGGGATTCATGAACCAAGCAGCGCGGTGACGAACACGCGGCTTGAGCGGAAGAGCCGACAGGAAAACCCGGCCTCGTAAGCTTTCGAGTGGCCACCACCACTCGACGTCAAGCCAAAGGCTGTTTCACGGGACAGGTGTGATCCGGCGAACTAATGGATTGCTGCGATTCCACGCTCTTCCATAAGACAAGGAGGATGGGGATGTGTGCTTTGTGGCGATGGTTGATGTAACGAAAACCCGGCCAGCGCCGGCCAGCGCCGGCCAGCGCCCGGGGCCGACTACCGAGCCGGATTCGAAGGTCTGGATCGCTGGCTTGCGACAAACACGAGCGCTCGCAAAGCCAGAGCCAATGCCGCAAAGGCTTCGGGTTTCAGAGTCGGTCGTCCAGACGTCGGATTTATTGAAGCTGAGTGAGTTACGACCAGGAATCCCTGGGGTTCCGCGGGCAGTGCATACCGTATACCAGATGAACAGGCCATCCTCCGTATGTGCAATGAAGCGGGCGACCAAGACAGAAGGCCCAGTGCTTTTATTTCTTGCCGCTTGTGGGTCATGTTCACCATGCGACCACTTTGTTCTGGCGTCCGCCATGGTCCTCCGGCCATCAGACATGGCCACCCAACGTGGTCAAGTCGACCGGCAAACCCCGCGCACGTTTCAGAGGCAAAACATGCATAAACCTGCTCAAGAGATGCTCAGAACGGCTGCTCAGGGGTGGTATGGTTGCCGAGCCTAAACACGGTGTCGATGACGTCGGTTCTTCGCGTCTTTAGACGGGTTGGGATTTGCCCTGCTCGCCGTCGTGGTCTGGATACCACAAGGTGTCGGGGCCAAAGCGTATAAAGGGAGAGCGACATCTCCTGACTCGTCCTCAGGGCAGCTTGTCCAGTCAACAGCACTCGCCCACGTCTTTTCTTGTTTTGTGACATCTACAGTCGCAGCTGAGCTGGGTCTTTAGTTTTATCCACCGCCCTGCTGGCCAGTCTTACAACTCCTGGGAGCCGACGTACCTGCTACCGCCACCGCGAGATATCATCCACGGGCACCTCAAAACAAGAAGCCCTCTGCCTAGCTCTGCATTGACCGCACGGCCAGATCGAGCCTCACCAGACCACTTTACGCACGCACGCCACCACCCAACCACGCACAATGCAACTCCGCTCGACCCTTCTGGTTCTCCTAGCCGCGCTGGCAGCCCCGCCGCCATCCAACGGGTTGCAACCCGTTTACCGACGCCACGGCGAAGAGGCGGAGAGCGCCGCGATGAGCGACATGCCCATGGGCGGGGCAAGATGAACGGCAGCATGCCGATGCCGGTTCCGGTGGCCGGCGGTCCCTCGTCCCGTGGCGACGCCAGCCTCGCCGCCCTGGCCGTCTGCGGAGCCGCGGGGCTGGTTATGGGAATGATGACCTAATAACCCTAAGCTGGGGTGGAGGAGATTTGGGGATCTGGGCGGCTTGCCACATTACGCTAGTGAGGCCAGAGCAGATAATTGCAGCCATTGAGAGACCAAGTGTCGCCACAGATGCCCCAGTGCCGAGAGGCCTGCCTCGCCAGTGTTTCTTGCCATGCTAACCTAACCAAGGCCCTTCCCTGCAACTCCTCTCGCCAGTCACCCGACTCGCGGACAACTGACTGGGAGAGCTCGATGGAGAGTCAGAACACAACTCAACGTCCCGCTACCCCTTCTGCATCCTCTAGTCTGGGCGGCCGGCGAATCTAACACGCCAGCTCCGCGTGCTGTATGGTGTCGGCGGATTCATCGTGGTTGTAGCCCCATGGCAGGCATCGTGCGACGCGCAACGCAGGCTTCATTCGGTCCGCTACGAGACAGTCGCCAGGCTCCCTGCACGGAAGACGGTCATCTCAAATCGAGGCGCGAGAGGGGAACTGCAGGTGGCCGAGGCGGGTGAAAGATCAAGCGAATGACAATCTTGCGTCTGAGCATCTGGTGCCGAAATGGGACGGTCATGGAACAAGGAAGCTACTGTGTACCCATCACCAGACAGCTTCTAGTGAGGCCTAAACGACCGCGTCTCGGAAAGACCTTTGCCAAACAATCGATGCTGGTCACCTACTTGCAGTCTCCTATCGTCTCTTATCATCAGTCAGGCTTCTATTTTGGGAACTCCGCCACTCGAGAAAGGACAAAACAATCAGCCGCCTGATTGGGGGATTGTTCGCTCCCGTGAGTATCGTCAAGCTCGGCGGTCTGGATTCATTGTGCCCACTCCGTTGGAGTCGTCGGGCTTGATAGAGCCCCGTCAATGCAAGCCCATGTCTCGGCAGCTTGAGCCTCTCTTGGCTCGTCTTGGTGCCTGATAAGCATGTGTGTGGGGGCAACAAGCTCTCAGGGGCTCTTCAGGGGCGCCAAGAGATGACTGCTCCCTCAGCCGATTAGGTTGGCTGGGTGCTTGAGCATCATCCGAACGCCAAGCGTGTGCCGCTCAGCCGTACGGCGGGCCACCATCTCGCGTGGCAAAATGAGGCAAGCATAAAACGTCCAGCCCCACCCGCCCACTCAGCGTGCCGAAGGGAGGCGCTCCTCCAGACGCAGGGAGAGGGGCCATCATCGGTGGCACGGACGCCAGCAGACCAGGCACCGGGCCATGATTGGCGGGCCTGGATTTCCGCCAGAGCCCGTTCCCCACAAGGCTATCGCTTCGCATGAAGATGCGACACTGAAATAGCAACGTCACGAGGCAAGCCAAGTGCCTCCGCGAGGCCTGCCGGGGGTGGTTGATGTCGCCCACTGGGATCGGAGTCATTGACCTGCCGCCAGGCCACCCAATCACCGCCCGTGCCTGCGCGTCTAGCGGGGGCGCGTGGGGGGTTTGTCGGCTTGGAGCCTTCACTAACCGACCTCGACGACGTCCTCTTGGAAAGTCTTGTGTGTGTGTGGATATCGCCCCTGCTCTGGAGCCCGAGGACCCCCTGTTCAGGCAGTTCCGACATGGGACCATCGATGTCACCCAAACACAGCTTCGTCTGGTTGGCTGTGATCGGCCTTTGGCAGCGCGGGCCGGTGGGCATCACCCATGAGCGGGTGCCACCATCGCGGGTTCGCGGGTGGGACGATATCCCAATGTTCAGCGAGATGATAGAGTGCTTCATTCTAGTATAAATATTCAGGCATCGCGCCGCCCTTCCTCTCGTTTTGTTCTCTCTCCTCATCCTCATCGGACACTCTCTGTTTCCTACAGTCTCCTCTTCTCCTTCTGTACTTTCCTACAGTCCTCTGTCAGCCTCTCTCTTCACTCAGACTCTTTCATTTCACTTCCGACAGCCTCTGCTTGTCCAATTTCCCCATATCACTCCCTCAACCGTATCTCTTGCATCAAGAAAAAACAACAACAAAAACCACCGCCAAAATGCAGTTCAAGTCCATCGTCGTCCTTGCCCTGCCCGTCTTCGCGGCCCCGACCAACTTCGCAGCCAACCAGGCCGCCGAGCTGGTCGCGCGCGCCGACGCCCCCGCCGCTGTTGTCGGCGAGGAGGCCCACATCGAGAAGCGCGAGATCATCACCGGCATCGTCACCTCCATCGCCATCACCGTCGGCACCGAGCTCGCCACCAAGGCCGTCAACGCCGGCATCAAGCTGATCAAAGACGTCGCCAACTGGACCAGCGCCCGCGAGCAGTTCACCAAGGCTACCGTCGCGCAGATGATGACCGAGAACCCGGACCCCAAGAAGTACGCGGCCGCCATTTGCAACAACGTCGGCTACAGCTTCAAGGACGGCGACGGCGCCGTCGGCAAGGTCAGCGTCGACCTCAAGCAGGGAGCCCTCAAGACCAACTACGACTGCTTCTACATGGCGTTCGGCAACACCTTCTTCAGCAGCGGAGACGGTGGCTACATCAACCTGGCCATGAGGCACTCGACCAGCTGCAAGTTCGACAAGGGCAACAAGAAGTCCAAGCCCAGCCTTGCCTGCTAAACGGCTCGCCAGCACCGCACTGTTTGGGCCCGGCGTCTCCAACACCTCGCAAGGTGTGTAGGATTCCCGTCCATGGAGCCTAGTCGCCTCTTTTTGTTTTCTCTTCCTGTTTATTCTTTTTCTCTCGATGTATATGGTTTTGCTCTTTGTGTGTGGTATGGAAAGGCTTGTTTGGAAGTTTGTATATAGCATTGTTAGAGACTCCGGTTAAAGCGGTGGCTATAACAGAGGGCCACGGGCTTTGGTAGCATTTGTGCTCTCAACGTGCAAATATCAACATTGTCCCAAACATACATCACCCTGTGCTCTGCAGTGACACGGCATTGTCTGCAACGCTTGGATCTGATCCTGCCCTGAGCTCTAGCCATTCTATGCCGAATCTCGGCCGCGAAATTGTCATGGACAGCCCCATGATGCGGAGATTTTGGGATCCGAATGGGCTGAACGAAGGGCTAGATTGGCCCTAGCGGCTGAGTCAGTATCAACACAACATGCCCCCTTCGGCCTTGGCTCCAGCCATGGACTTCATGGGGCCACCTTGACTTTCAGCCATCAAAATCCTCACCTGACACGGTCTTCGATCTGGGCTGAGTCGTTACCGTCGTGCTTCCAATCCAGGCACGTCGACTTAAAAAAAACGTGGATTTTCCATACAAGATTCATAGTGCATCTTAGTCTGTGTTCTTGCTTGGTCAACGTGACAGGGTCCGATCCTACCCATGGACTCCAACGGCCCCAACTCTAAGTGACGTCAAGGGTATGGAAGGTACTGTGGACCAAAAAGGGACGAAAATGCCGTCCAAGGTAATGGCGCGAGAGTCAAGTATGGAGATTGTGCTCCGTCCGCTCTGTCATCACAAGTCGACTGCTGACTGTAGGTAGGTTTTATCTGTTCCCCTTCCCAGCCGCCCCGTCGGCGGCTTCCTTTTACGGGAGAAGACAGCATTTCAGCGCTTTCGCATTCACCTGCCATGACAGCGCGGTGGTCAGCACTGCTGGCCGCGGCCAATAGAAACGTCTACAACTCCCGCGGGGGGGAGGGGGGTGCACGGTCGGCCCTCGAGCCTTTGGCATCGCGTGGGCGCACGGGACGATCCCTGCTTCTCCTCGCCAAGGCGCAACCGAAGAAAAGGTTCTTTCTGTGCTTCCCGACCCAGAAGCTTGTTCTCTTTGACCCACGGTCTGGGGGTCTTCGGGGCAGCAGCAGCAGCAGCAGCAGTGGCAGCAGCAGCGTCATGTCGCCACTCCCGACGTCTCCCCTCGACTTTGAATGATACTCCTCCCCCCGCCCGCGCCCGCCAGCGCCCGGCCCCCCGCCGCTCACCACACACCACCCCTTCGCCGAGCGCAGATGGCAGGCTTCCTGATCCCGCCATGGTACCAGGTCTCGCGGGCTAGCCCGGAGATGCTCGGCATCGCCGTCTACTTCATGGGCTGCTTCACAGCCATCACGGCCTTCACGGCCTTCAAGGCCGCCGGCCAGACGTACAAGGTCCTGAGGCGGAAGCGCGGGAGGAAGCCGAGCACGTACATTGTCATGGTCTGGCTGGACTGGCTGATCAACATCCTGATGGCCGTCCTGTCCTGGCTGTACATCAACAACATGATAGAGCCCAGGTAGCCTTTTGTTGTCTTCGTCCCGCTTTGGAGACAGACCCGTAGATTACCACAATGGCCCAAAAAGGTCCCGCGCATTGCCCTGCAACCAATCAGGTAAGAAAGGAAAAGACATATCGGGATTCTAGTGGCTCTCAGGGACTCCAACCCGTATCAACTGATGAGAGGGACGTGAAGATATTAGGGCATGAGAGGAAAACTATCAGGCAAGAAGTATACAGCACACACACGCCACCGCGTGCCAAAGCGTTAACGGCCTAGCATAGATATGAATATATATGCAGATACTAGTACAAGTAGAATCAGTTTGGAGAGAGGACCGCATGCCCGGCACGAGGAGCGCTCTGCTTTTCAGACAGCCCGTACGCAGGCCCATACGTCTCAGCCCCGCCCGTCCAGGGCATCCGCCGCGAGCCCCAAGGCCGCGCCGGCAGCCCCGAACGCCCAGAGGCCCGCGTGAACTCCGCCGCCGTCAAAGCGGTGCGTCGGCGCCCCGAACGGCTGCAGACTGCGGTAGACAAGCGCCGCGACCGTGGCCATGGACGCGCCCAGCAAGCTCGTGTAGACCGTGGTGAGGAACTCGGACCGCTCGCGCGGCGGCCGCGGCGTCGTCGCCGCCAACGACATGGACCCCGGCGCAGACCCGCCAGCAGCGATGCGGCCCTTTCCCTTCCTATTGTTCTCGCAGGCCTGCCGCCTTTCCTGCCTCCACGCGGACCACTGAGTTCCCACTCCGCTTGGAAGAGACGCCATACAGCCGGCCGCGAGCCGCGCCGCGACACTTAGCAACGACGACGGCGACGAGGAGTAGAGAGAGGCCGCCTCCTCGGACACCCAAGGCAGCTGGCTCGGCTCGACCGGGAACCACGCGGCGCGCGCGTCGTCGACAAACGCGGCCAGGTCGGCGTGCTTTTGGCCGACGACCTCGCGGAGCCATGGACGCGGCAGCGTGGGGACCGCCATGAGCGCCAGGTAGCCAAAAGCAAGGCATTCAAAGGACGACGGCGGCCTGCCTCCACTACCACCTTCCTCCGCGCCCTGCCCATGAGCCCAGGGGCCCCGTAGCCATCCCTCGCCAAGACCCGGCGCCGCATCGGCATTGATACCATGACAAGAGGTCAGGACGTCGAGCACAGAGGCCGCGGCAGCTTCGAGCCGAAAGCGGGCCTTGGCCTCGGGTGTCATGGAAGACGAGATACCGCCACGGTTCCGTGGCTGAAGACTAGCCGGAATAAAGCTCCGTGTTGCGACGTCCCTGGGTGTGGCGTCGGGATCGGCTGCATCGCGGTCCGTATCTAGGTCCGAGAAGTCCAAGTGCTCGGCGCGTCTGGACATGGCGCGGCGCCGAGCCGGCCCCTCGGTCCAGCCCAGGGGGAAGGGCAGGATCTGGCTGATGGCCGGGCGGGTGGCGCCGGACCAATTGGCAGACGAGACGTATAGTGACAGGGCAAGTAGAGGCGCGGCGTGGGCAGTCAGGAAGACGCGATAGGCGGTCGAGTCAGCCACAGCCGCGGCGGGCAGATTCAGCCGGCTATCAAGGCTAGGCCACCGGCTATCCACCACGAAGGTGCCGAGTCCGGTTTCAGGAGTTGGGGCGGTGGCGTGGATCAGGTCCAGAACTCCCTGGAAGCCAGACGCCCAGTCGCCGGAAAGAGTGTTGTGGATGGCGGGGAGGTGGTCTAGTTAAGGTTTTTCAGCAAGAGACCAGCAGCCACTACCGGCTGTGAAGCCGTTCGGTGCCTATACAGCGGGGCCGGTGGGCTTAGAGTAGTAGGATATGGGAAACCAGCAGTGGGGAACGAGCCTCCCGAGCTTTCGGGGCAAGCGACTTTGGGACGAAGGGGTGGCTGTGATGGCTGGCCATACACCAACCCAACAGGCGGGCGACAGATAGCTTCGGGGCAGCGTGCCCCAGGGGTTGGCACTTACTCGTTGGCACGGCCGAGGGACTTGTGGCGACGAGCTCATAGTCGCCCGGCTCAGTGATGTGCTTGAGATATACGATAGCGGCCAGGCACTCGGCGTCGAGGGAGGCGAGTCCGAAGGCCGGACCCCAGACGTGGAGGCGGAGGATCGGCATGGCGGTCTGCTCGACGTCTGCGCCGAGGGCTCTGTAACGAGAGCAGTCCGGGGGACGCTAGCGGGTGGCAGGGCAAGACAGCAGCCGTGCCGAGGCGTGGGCAGGAATAAGGAAGGCCCAGGCCAGCGGGAGCAGGAGACAAGGGCTCTATGGCCAGACGGCACACGAGCAAGCGCACCCCCTCGGCGTGCAAGCTGCGGCTGCAGGCGCAAGGGTTCCCCGCCGGCAGAGGTGGCCGTTGAAACCCACCGGCCGATCTCGACTGGATGTTTCGCTAAGCTCCGTTTCCTTCCGCCGAGACCGGACGGGTTTCCTGGCGGTGAAACAAGGAGGGCCGGGCTTCTTTATTAAGTTCGGAGAGGTGGTGCAAAGTCCCTTGGGGGAGATCGTCTGGTGTGCGGCTGCTGCTGCCGGCTGACCGAGTCGGGAAACCCGGCGGTTGTTTTGAAGCACCAGCTCTCGACGATCCTATCCGAACGCTAATCGACCGGCCTTTATTCACCGTGAAATGGCGGGTGGCAAACAAGCTGCGCTTGGGTAATATCGCCGGCGGCCAGGCTTGCGGTCTGGCCCGGTCAGGAAGCGATGGCGCAGTGCAAACCCGGGGCGTCTGGCCGCTGCTCGATCCTAATCAGGTGCTCAGTAGGCATCCAGAAATCTCCCGGGAGATGAGGCGATTTTGTGATCATGTGCAAGCCGTGGTGCCCAAGATATTGGAGAAGCTCCACGGATCATCAGCCTACATGCGAAAAAGAAAAAAAAAATTGAAGGCATTCAGACGCGCCTGCATTGAGAGCCCGCTGGACCCCTCTCCTACCCCACAATTTCTATAGCGTGGCTTCCGTCACACAAGCAGCACGCGAGAGCACGTGACAATATATCGAGACCGGGTGTCCAAGACGGTCCCCCTTTTCCCGCTCTCACCTGCTCAGACCCCGACCCCGACCGTGCCCCCCACCCACTCGCCCTCAGCAGACCGACGCCGGGCGATGGGTCCCCCCGACCGGCAAGGGAGCGTCGATCTACTATCCCAACGGCGAACACAGCCGCTCATGGCGTCCGCAGGGAAGGTGGTGGCGTTTCCTTCCTTTCTGAAACAAGCGCTGGCGTGGCTAGCTCTTTTGTTGACTAACGAGCCGGATGACCAACCCGGAAAAGATTCTTTCCACATCTATGAGCCGGCGATGCCAGTTGCAGCGGTAACGTTTTGGCCGCGCGGGCAGTCCATCTCTTCGACTCGCCGGACATCCTCTGATGTGCCAACCTTGTTCCTCCTCCCCCACGAGGCCGAGTAATGAGGGCGCAGGGCCTTGGCAGATCAATGCATATCATGCCCGCAAAGTGACGAGGCTGGCGTATCATGTTACTATAACCTTGCCCCCAGCTCAAGGTTGATGATGCCATCTCGTTCCGCTGTCATGGCGGGGTCTCCCCTCCCCCAAAGTCCACCCCCCCCCCCCCCCCCTCTCGGCCGCCCAGATGCGGTGGCCTGCCTGCCACACGTCCTTCGTCGCGCCGGATTGAGTGGTTCGAGAAAGCCGATCAATCAGTTCAAACCAGCGAGACACGTCGTGCCTTGCGCAAGCCCGCTGCCCGCCTGGAAGTGAGGATTTCAGAGTACTTTTGCAGGCCCCGTTTCAGGCATATGGGTCTCGGTTTGCTGACCAGCGGCGTGCCAGCTCCATCTCACCACGCGCGCGCCCGTGCTACTCCCTGCCAGAGAGCAAGATGATGACCTTGTCCGACTTGAACAAGGGGAGCTGGATAGGGGGTGGGTCAGAGACGGCGGAGACCCCCAAGGTGCAGGCAGATCATCAAATGTCAAAAGGCCCAGTGGCAAGGGCAGAGCGAGATATCAGCCCTCAATGCGCCCAGGCAGGGCACTTTTCTGCTTCGTCCGACGTTGCCCGCCGCGGGACGCAGATCTAGTCCGAGCATTGTAGGTAGGTACCTGCGTACATGTGTAAGCCGCAAACCTGCAAGCACAAGTCTCTTGTTTTGTTTGGCTCTGACGGCAGATCACGCTCCTGTTCAGTGGAATCTGCGACACCCCTGCCATACCTTTCAATCTACAGTACCACTCTACATAGCTTCTATTGCCCAAAATTCCCCCCAGCCCTCCGCGTAAGCACGTCTTATTAGGAACTACCCACATAAGCAGCTTGTGTGAGAAAAAGGGGCCACCAGCACGGGGACTTTGGTTTCCGTGGATGACCTCCTCGCATCCACGAAAACCCCCGCCAGATGCCGAACCCGGTGAGGACAGCCCCGTTTCGATGGGCTCCCGTCCGACATGCCATGCATAGCCGCCCGAGCTAGGAATCGAGAGGGCGTTGGGTCGCAGTAAATAAATAAAAAAACGAAAAACATGGCATCATCGCTGTTTTGCCGGGGCACGAACGCAGCAGAACGGAGCATGGCCGTTTTAGCCTCTTCTCTTGTTCTGAGGGAATTTTCCCCAAACAACCCTCGCTTTGAACCTCGGCGCGGTTGCTCAACCCCGTATTTTTCCTTCCTGGTCTCTTGTTCTTGGCTGTCCGTCCCTTCATCGGGTTGCGGGGTTTCCACTTTTTTTGAAAATCCGCAAGCCTTTGCGCGATGATGTGGAGAGGCCAGGCAGTTCTCCTTTCCCACCACCCCACCGACCCGCTCGGGACGTATCGAGACGAAACGAGTTGCACATCACTCTCCCCTCCCAAAAAACCCCCGCCGCCGCCACGTCGAAAAGCACATCACCCACAGCAGCAGCGGCCAGCGGGCAGGCAGCACGGCACAGCACACCGCACATCCCGTGGTTCTCCCTTGTGTTCCATGTATACGTAGACCCGGCCGCATGCATGCATAATCAGACCAGACGCACCGGCGGCCTGGGTCGACCAGTGAGAGAATATATCCGGAGCACGACGGGAATAAAAAAAAACAGGCGCGTGTGAGAGGGGAGGTTAGCTACCCCATCAGACGTTGGGAAAATCTCACCGCCCGGGGGGTTCCGCAATCTACAAGTCCTTGTGACCTGGGGGCCTTTTGCTTGGCATGGTTCGATTTGGGGTTGGGGGCCTTGCGATCAGAGATCAGAGATCAGAATCGAGATCCGCCGGGCCATCAAAAAAATCCGCGCAGATCTCGGGAAGACGAGGGAAGGAGAAGATGCGAGAGGGATAAAAAAAAAAACTCTTTACTTGGCGCGTCTGAGTGGGAGGAGGTGTCAGGCAAGGCGGCCGCGGGGTGCGCGGTCTCGCTCCGATACGATGCTATCTCACCCCAAAAGGCAGCTCGGCTGCAGATGCCACTCGAGAATCGTTGGCAGGCATCCAGGTAGGTCGGTAAGTAGGTAGGCATCTGCGTCACCTCGATAGGGCCACAATGATGCAATGCCGTCCGGCGGGAGCGCCGTCAGTCTCGTTTCTCGCCCGCACATTGAGCAGGGGACAGCCGCCGAGAGCCCATCCATCGTCTGACTTGCAAGTTGTGGGGGATTTTTTTTTTTTTGTTTCCTCCCAAGCCCATGTGAATCAGGAGCCCTTGCTCACCACGATACACACGCCCCCTCCTCCCACTCGGTTTAAAAAGGCATTAAGAAAGTCGCGCAAAAAAGTACACGCCGGGCATGTACCAGAGTGGACCGTGTAGCATCTTTTCCGGCGTTGACGATGGAGTCGCTGTTCCGAGAAACGTTGTTCTCACGGCCGTCCTCGGAGAGCCGAAGGGGTGAGTTAGGAGGAAAAGGAGAAAAATAGTGGAGGCCGAACAGAAACACACATAACAGGCATCTCCGGGCCTTGGGTCCCAAATCAGGTCTTCCAGACACGTGCCTTCTCTCTCGCCATACGGTTTCCACAGGTGGGAAATAGGGATGCGACAGATACGGACATGCGCGGGAGGCAGGGGAAGGTGATGGGCGCCGGACATCAAAAGGAGAAGGGCAAGGATGGAGAGACAAAAGGAAGGAGAGAGAAGAGAAATACAATTCGCAACCACAATGGTTGGAGTGCCCCGAGCGTCAGGATCCAGGGATCAAGACCAACAAGGCGGGATCCTGGCCACAGGCCTTGAAGCTGCAAAAAAAGATATTTTGCCCATCCCTGGCCCAGGAAAGCGTGTTTGGAGTCTGCAATTTGGCCGGAATGCGATTGCACTTCCCTTTCCGGCTCAATGTTCCCGGTTTCTTGAGTCAGCACACCAAAGAGCCGACTGGTGAAGCGGACAGCATCTTGTCAATTGTTGGCATGTGGCCCACCCAACGCAGACGCAAGAGCATCGTAGAATTTTGTTGACAAACTAATGTACGATGAGAATCGGCGTTTCCAAGGCGCAAATAATCGACTGCGCACGGCTATCAGCGAAGTGAGGCACATTAAGAAAACTCGTGGTAAAAAATAAAATATAAACTCGTAAAGCATGTTATTCCAAGCAGGTCTCTTGCCCCAAGTATTGAGGGTGGAGGGGGTATCGGCGACGATGTACACTTCTTTCAATAAGACGCCGTGAATATATAAATTAGGAAAGCACTCGGCTCCTGCTTGGGTCGAAGCCCAAGCATGAGCGAGCACAGAGAGGGGAAAACGTGATGCTCGTAAGTCCCACCCCGTACGCCGGGGGCTATTCCCTTGCCCAAGAAAAAAAAGATCCCAACCCTGATTAGAAGAAAAAAAAAAGAACCGAGTATGCCCATATAAAAGTACACGTGTAATGCGTCTGTATAGGCGCCACGGCGGAGTAAGAATGCCAAGGCAAATATGCGTGGGAGGGCGGATGCAGGCCGAGCCAGGCCAGGCTCGGTGTGTTTATGTGTGTGTGTGTGCCTCCTGGGAGCCAGCTCTTGGGAATGCAGCCGAGGGAGGGCTGGTGGCAGGCGAGCGGTGATTAACGTGTAGTAGTGGTGTAGTAGTAGCTGTGTGTCGATTACGGAAGCACGAGTGTGTTTGTAGCGAGTTGGCAAGGAGTCGCAAGAGTCGAGACCGAAGAAATGTCAATGATAAGAAGCATGCTGGGCGAGGTGTGTTTGTTGCTCGCGATTGGGCGCCTGGGTGGGCGGCGCATGTGTGGTGTCACCATGCGGGTGCAGCGAAACCGTGCGGCGAGGCTGGGACCTCGATGTTGAGGGTGTGTGAGTGGAGCGCCAGCCTGCAAGCCTGCGCGATTGCGTGCATGTCTCTGGTTGGGTTGTTTTCCGCCGCGTATGCAGCGCCTTGGGGCAGGTGAGGTGAGAGCGGAGGGGAGCAGGTTTGCCAGGATCCGGGCAGGCAGCGAAGCTGCAGACCGCTGCATCGGGGCACACCACGAGGGATGGGTTGCTCTTCTCCTCCGCACCCCCTCTCATATCGTATGTGCCTCCAAGACAGGAAGGGCTAGGCGGTGCAAAGCCATGCGCTACATGTGCGCTGTTGGCTGCACATGAGCAGGGAGATAGCTGCCGACAACAAGAAAAAAAAGCAGATCGAGTTGAGGGTGGCGGGTTGTAGGATTGTTTGGTTGGAAGCAAGACACGGGAGAGCTCATGGCGGGAGCCACGAGGCTCTCCCGGCCGAGGGCGCCGGAGCCCGTCTAACCCCTGGTGGGCAGAGCAGGAAGCGGGCGCTGCGGCGGCGGGCCGGGGCAGGGCGGGAGCTGCGAGGGGCGCTGGGCGGGCATCTTGGTGGTTGGTGGTAGGAGCCTTGGGAAAACCAAAGGCTGTTGCTGTTGCTGTTGCTGTTGGGCGAGGATCTCCGTCGTGGTGGCAGAGATGCGGCTATGGTGGCGGCTGTGGGTGGTGGTTGGAGGTCGTTGATGTCGAGGCAGGTAGGCAGGCAGGTCAAGACAAGGTGGGAGAAGTGGGCGAGATATAAGCGTCTGGCAAGTGTCTGAGAACTGAGATGTCAATTGTCGTGTTTGTGATATGATCTGATGGGCTTCGTTTGTTTGACTGACAATGGGCCGACCGGACGAGGAGGAGGGAAGGGGCCCTGTCTTATTATCTCTTTTTCGCCCGGCAGTGTGAAGATCGCCTCATTAGAGCAAATGTGAAATGCTGTGCCTGGGCTCGGGGCAGCCTGATCCACAATGGGGGATGACAGAGTGAACGGGGCAGGGCAGGGGTGTTTCCTTGCCCACACCCTGCTTCGTACCTCAAACCAGGAGTCGCTTGCCCACACGCCCGCCGTTCACCGCATCTCTGACTCTACTTTAGGCTCAGGTACCTTTTGGAGCGCTGGAGCAGACATCCCTGCAAAACCTGAAGGCATCAAAACACCCCTGCCCGTCCTCCTCTCCAGGGCACGTCCACGCGGACAAGGGCAAGCCAGCATGACCACAAGGGGTGTCGCACCCCCTCAGGAACCCACCCTTCACCCCCCCTCCCCACACACCACCATCCTGCCGCTACCCTGGTGCGTACCCACCTCTCGTCGTTATTGCCCTGCTTATTCTTTTATCGTCGTATTTTTTTTATTGTTATTATTATTATTATTGTTATTATTTTCAATCCGTGCCAGCACTTGCGGTGCGGTGACGCAGCCTGGGCTTGGGTCTTGGGCTTAGCCACTGAAGCGCCCGCAACCGCAAAATGAAACAACCTGTGGCAGGGGCTCCCTGTGACCTGCATCTCTGAGCGCCAGCTGGACGGCCTTGCAATCGCAGCGCATTCGGGCTCGTCCGCAAAGCGTAAAAACAAACAAATGAATCGGCCTCTGTGATGGATGATGCCCAGCAGCACGAGAGAAAAGGCAAAATTGGCAATGGAGAGAGAGAGGCCCCCGTCGACCCTCTCTTTCCCCCAAGCCCTGATCCCTTCCCCAGAGAGTGCCGGGCCGGGCACGTTGCACCATGTGGAATTTGGGCGGCCCCAGCGAGAGGAGAAACGTGATGAAAGCACAGTCAATCCAACGCCCTGCAATTTACAGCTTCCAGCCCCAGAGGGCGCTGCGCTGGGTCCAAACCCCACTGCTTGAAAATCAAAACCAGAGCGGATCGCGAGTACGGGCTGGGCTCCAGAAGGGGGCAGAAGGAGAAAAAAAAAGGGGGCCTAATTACACCAAGCATCTCAAAATTAATTTGCCATGCACAACGAGAAAAGCTGAAGCACGCATTATACGCATTACCTGGCCGGCTGAGATTTAATGAAAGGGACCCGTCAGTCAAGTCAGCCTGAAATGATTGGATTCGTCGTCCTCGCCTGTTTGTTCAAAAATAGACGAGGCTCTGGGGCTGGACTGGGCTGGGCTGGGCCGCTGTCATGACCCCACAAGCCACGATGCAATCCCGATTTGTATCAGAAAGACCATAGCAAAGCCATGTCGTCCGACGTGCGTAGTGCTGCCCGGTCTGGCCGCGTCGAAACGGCTAAATGGGGCATCGCATATGGCAAAGCTTCCATGGTCCAGCTCTGCTCCCCTATGAGGCCTTTGCGACGCCTTCGCCGGGCTCGGAAGCCCCGGTGATGCCGCTCTGTGTCACGTTCCCGCCCGTGCTCTGTGTTGTGCGTGTGGCTGGCGCAACCATCGGGACGACGCGCGCCTTGCAATTTCGCCGAGCCGCGGGCTCTACAGGCATGGCCGCCGTAGCGGAAAGTATGTTTTCGCGATCGAAACATGTACGGGACCCAACCGCCCAACGTGCGCCCTTACAGCTGGGAACCCGGGGCCAGACTCTGTCGTCCCTCCTGTTCCCCCTGAGGATAGGGTGTGAAGGAAACCCGTCTGATCCACGGACCGTCGCCTGTTCGAGCCTAGCGATCAGGAATTTACGCGAAGGGTGTAGCTGGTACCATTGAATAGGAAGCTTACATATCCATTTTGACTTTGGGTCTCTAACCACCAAACATGATGAATCAAGATTCGTCGTGAAGCACTGTCCGGGACAGTGCTTGCGCATAACAAACATCGCGTAGACCCTTGTCCCGTCGGCTGGGCGAGACAGAGACGACACCATCAATTCGCGGGCACAGAATATTCCGCTTTTGGGAAAGGCTGGCGAGAACAGGTCGCAAGGGTACCACTGCTATCGACCATCGCCATCAGCATGAATGCATGTGCTCGCAAACAAGGCGGTGGAAGAGGCAGAAGAACAGACCCCCTTTTTTCCCTTCTCCCTTCCTTCTGTTTTCGCTTCTCCCGCTAGAAGCCAAAGCACTCGTGGCAACCCCATATCTAGCTCGAAATACTGCTCCGTGCACCGCCAAATTTCCATCAGGCCCATAATGACGCTTGTGATGGAGACGCATTGGAGCTGGAGCCGTCACGCACGCTTCTTTTGCCAAGGCGCCCACTCCTGCAAGAGAAGGTCCGTAGAACAATTCCAACGCTCCACGAGCCCCTCCGTGCGCGGCTTTTGTGCCCTGTTTAATTTTAAGCTGCTGCCCGCTGTGGTAGGGGGTTCGTTTTTTGCCTTTTTCGTTTTTTGCCTTTTTCTTTGTCTCCTTTCCTGTGCCCGAGGACGGTGTAACCATAAAAAATAATTAAAAAAAAAGCCTTCGGTATCTCCAACTAGACAGGGGTGTGTCCAGAACAAACAACGACGAGACCAAAATTAGGTCTGGGCTTGCGTTCTATCGGTGAAGAAAGCCGGCATAAACAAAACATCCGGCGCTTTGGTGCGTCGCCGTTTGCTGTCAGATGAGCGGTGGACGATGAGACGAGAAGGGGAAGAAGAGGCAGCGCAGGTACCGCAGGGGTCAAGGCAGGGCGGTCAGTTCTGGACAGCGTCGAGGTCTATGCATTAGGTTCTGGGTCTGCGTCCATCAGGGGATGGGTGATTTCCATCGAAATGCATCGCGAGGTCTAGGTCACGCATGCGCACGCTTAACCTTTTTTTTGGCCCATCGCTGCTGGCGCGCCAGATGTTACAGTCTGGGCCAGAGGGTGAGGGTTTGCCGTTTTCGGTTCCTGACGTTTAGGCTTTCGTCACTTCTCACCTCCCGTCGTCTCTTTTCGACAGACGAACCCCTCCCGTGCATGGCTGGACCCAAGCACGGGGGAAGAAAAGCAGCAGGGGGAAGGGGGAAAGGGCCTGCGTGCTGTTCCTGCGCACGGCAACCCTGGTTTCCAAGAAGCGCCCACGGACGTTTTGGGAGACGTCGTTGGCAGTTTGGCGGGAAGACGCACGGAAGACAAGAGAAAGGGGGATTTCACTAGCCAAAGTAAAAAAAAAAGGCAAATGAGAAATGCGCCCTGCTGGTCTCGCTCGGATTCGTATTCAGCAGCCCACACCCTGCTCTGCCGCTTCGCACAGGGTCGAGGCAAGGCTGACCGCCGCCTTCTGGTTGGCCACAGATCCTTCAGCCCTCCCAATTCAATTCCAATGGATGGCGCCTCCCGCGCCCGCCGGGCGTTTCCACCACGTGGCGGCAGCAAGGCCCGCACGGCCGCGGCGAAGGCCGAGATCAACGTGGCCCAGCTGGCCCTCAAACGTTCAGCTAGTTCGATACTTGGGCCGCTTGGCTAAAAATATGCCACACAAGGCGTCATTCCGACCGTAGGAGTGGTCTGCAGCGAAGAAACGGCGGTCTGGTAGGTTGCGCACATACACAGCAAAGTGGCCGCCAGAGAACAGATTTGAGCAGTCAATACTTGGGTCGGCCGTGTTAGCTGCATCGCCAGAGACGCTTGTTGTGAGGGAGCGAGCGGGATGGTCATGCACAAGAAACCTTCTCGAGGTGGTGGTTTGGCTCACTGGATTTCCCCAAATGGGCATGTTACAGGCAGACATGGCGTGCATGCGGATCTGTAATCGATCTTGCTAGCCTAATCTACCAATCACCATTGAACGGCCAAACGAGGAGGAGGGCTGACGTGTGCGCGTCAACGCTAAGCGCGTGACAAGGGCCAGACAAACGCTTCGACAGTCGAGCAGCAAGGCCAGACATGCGGTCAATACCCAGCCCTGGGTACCTAGGTACCACCTACCTCCCTCACAGGATACTAGGTATGCACAGCTCCCCCCCCGTGATGGGCCGTCGTGATCAGGTTTGATGGCCAAACCTTAAAGCGACCCAAGCAGAGGGACACCCCGCGGTCGGCATCGTCGGCGAGAGGGAAAAAAAAAAAGATGACGTTGCGGTCAGAGCGCTGCTTCAGCGGGTCCACATCCCGGTTCCTTCTCACCTGAATAAGCTTTTGCGCCACCGCGACCTTGAACCTTTCCAACTGTGCCCCTACCACAAACTCTATTGACTACCTACAAAGTCGTATCGGGATGGACGGCTCCCCGAGCTGCCATGCCCGTCCGTCAGGTCGCCGACTGGCCCGCAGAGTTTGCTGGAGGAGGGCTCCCTGGCCGGCAAGGGGAGGAGTCTGCGGCGGCGCGGCGTCGTGGGAAATCGGCCGAGGCTGCAGCCCCGGGGGCGGATGATCTTCGGCGTGTGGGGTTGCGCGACCCAGCCCTGCTCAACAAGAACAACGTATCAATAATGCAATGCCATGCAGCACCCAAAGAGGGGGTGGCCGTGGCGGCCGCATCTGTGGCCGCCTTGGGTCTGGCCAGCCAACCAGCCAACCAGCCAGCCCTACCTAACCCAGCACGGGTACAATGCATCTTGATGGATCCACCACCGCCCCGTTGTCGACAGACGAGAAGAGGGGTTACTCCTATTGTCTGGCTACCTATCTTAGACCTAGATACGCGGCGCAGGCGCCGGTGTTCGCGCCGCCAACGTTCGGTCGCTTATTTTGAGCACATGCAGACCCCCATGCGGCGGCTACGTGCTGTCGGCGGATCACGCCAGCACCCGATGGCACCTTGGGAATAGCAGGGTGAGTGAGGGGTTGCCGATTTTCTCGCACGACGATTACCGCCGCCGCCCATGTCTGTCCCATCAAAGTCCGCCCATGGGTATGGAGCTTTCGTCTCTCCCCTCAGCCACTGCACCCATGTAGTCCGCTCTCGAGCCTAACCAGCCCGCACAAGCCCACCGAGAGTGAGGCAGGCAGGTTGGAGGTTCATTGACAAGGGCGTGTGTAGGCGTGCGAAAAAAAAAATTTGACCCCGGCTCGCAGTTGCGGGTCGAAGCGATGACATCCATCCCCACAGCGCCGGGCCACATTCTTGTTTGATTGCATGAGTGGGGCGTCAGGACCGGGGCGGTGAAAAGGGAAAGGATAGATATCCATGTCGGCGTGCTTCGTCGTGATGAATAATAAGAAGCAAAAACAGCCACACGCTGCTGCAACCTGACCCATCGTGCCTATCGCAAGCTCCAAAATCCGGCCATGCTCGGCCATGAACGTCTCCGGACCCAAATAAACATGCTGCTAGGTAGGCCGCACTTTACCAGGCAATGCCCACCTTGTCAAATGCGATACGTAGCAGCATTGCGGTTAAATCATGAGAGTCCTGCACCCATATGACTCAATTGTGTTGGAAATACCGCCCCGTCGGCTGCTGCTGCTGGATGCGTTGGCAAACCCTGCCGTTGAGAAAAGCCTAGGAATATCCCCACACACCACCATTGCCCCGCCCTCTCACAAAGCCCCATGCGCTGTTTTCCTTTCTCTTTTTATTTTTCTTCTTTCGTCATATTGTGTGCGCCAAGTCAGTCCTCCGCAGCCCTCCGGTCTCGACGCCCTCCCAACCTCTAACTGCCGGGACCAAAATCCCAGGTTTCGGGCCCAGCTGGGACGCACACGGAGGACAGAACTCCCAAGGTTTGGATTCGCGTTGCGCGAAGCCGTACAAACCTGGAGCTGAAACCGCTCCTGCTCCTCTTGTCAGGACAAATCTTCGCGATGTGGCGGGCGTTGACTTGTGCCATCTGTTCAGACGGAGACGAGCTATGGAAAAGAACCGAGATTGCTCTGGGCTCGCCAGATGAGTAGCGAGCGAAGAAACTCAAAAGCCTTGCCAGGCCAGCATTGGCTCAGCCCGCTCGGTTCCGGGGGCGGGCATGGCATGGAGGGGGGCGTGAGAGGGTGAGAGCGAGAGTGGTGGCCCACCGATCATCCTCCTGGGTCCCCGGTCCCAGTCCAGGCGCGCTCTATAGCCAGTTTGCCATTCGGAGTAACCACACCGACGGACAGTCAGCCGCTGCGAAGCGCTGCGACGCCTCCCGCATTGTTTACTGTACCATTAGCAGGGCTCAAGGGAACACCCGCGAGGGGGCGGCGCCCGTACGGAGATAGGAGGCAAAAAAAATGCCATTTTCGAGGTAGCGCCAAGAGCACCCCATGTTTAGCCCCTACCAAATAAGGCCTAGCCCACATTTCTTTTTTCTTTTTCAACATCAATCGCAGCACCAATTCGAATCCGCCCACACGCGTTTTAATCGATTGGCTAGTGCATACCCCTGTCCCCTGCCCTCGCTACACGAGTGACCTCCCGCTGAGATTATTTAACCCTCACACCTCCGTACGAGACGCCGAAACACGGTGACCATAAAAAAAACATCCCCGGCCATGCAGCAGGGCGGCCTTGTAAACGCCGCCCGCATCAACCCCGCGATACGACACGGGGGTGCTAGCTCCCTGGCAGCTATAAGGGCCAGGTAGAGGGAGCTTTCCCAACATGGCATGTCATCATGAAGACCGCCCGGGCCGCCCAGAACCTGGTCTGTCCAACTATCATGAGACAGCTATGGTCGTACTTTGAGGTTTTGCCTTGCGCGTGCATCGAGGCAAAAGCAACAGACAGCTGGCTTTTCTGCCGAGACGCTGGACGTCCACTCGTCCAGCCAGCCAATGCCGACCGCAGGAAGGCAGAAGAAAAGGACAGGAAAATCCCTCAATTCATCATCGGTGTGTTGGCATCAAAGAACTCCCAACGATATCCGAGCTCTGTCCTGTGCGCACCCCGTTTCGCTTGGTGGACCCTGTGGTAAGCAAACATCACCGTATCCCTTTGAGTGCCGTTCGGCCCCCGGTCGCTGATCTTGCGTGCGTTAGCAAATAAAAACGGTTGTTTTTTTGGTACTTCCGCGTGCGCCTTAATTAGCCCGTGATAGAAGTACCAGCACAAGTCATTGTGACAAAGCGGTACGTCGCGCTTGAGTAGGGCAAGTTCCAACGCGCCCCTAAAAATCCGTACCTCCAAGTCACAGCAACAAACAGGGGTGCTTTTGCTACTCAAAGGGATGAGAGCCAGCTAGCGAGATGGTTCAATTCGTCCGAATGGGCGCGCGAGATACCCAAGTCCAGCGCCCCTCCGCATTGGACCAATCAACCAGCACCCCAGCCCAAGGGGGTATTCACAACGCATCAATGACGGCAGCCACAACGCAATTTGCCGAGGTCGTAGAGATTGTGCGCCAGTGCCACATTCTCTGGTTTTGTACAGCCTCTAGCGACTTCCAATCTTTGAATGGGCAAAGAACAAGCAAGTGCAGAGGATCTCTTACCCATTTCAGTCTCTTCTTTCACATTTAGGCAGTCGGCCTTTAGTACATTTGCTACCACAATCACGAGCATGGAGAACTCGGATGCACTTGAGATTATAGGCTGCGCAAGACAGAGCGCCGGAAATGCTTGGGCGGGTGAAAGCGAATGCTGGATTGCTTGTTGACCCGACAATCATTCGAGTAACTAACACCCGCTTCTCGTTTTGCTCCTTCCATGTGTGAACCAACATCCCAAAAGGAAACACCGAACCTGTCTGCATCACGTTAGAGGCCAAGTCGACCCCACCATCTCCGCGCTTATTTTCGGATGCTTAGCGCCCAGTGGGCCTGGGCCTGGGGCGGACCGGGGGTTAGGGATGGATCTTCTGGCCCTTGGAAGAGGCGGCTCCCCAAGGTCCCCTGACGGCGATGTCGTCGTTCTCAAGCGCTGAGAGGGCAAACAGAAAAGAGACACTCAAAACCTGATGAATGGTAGTGGGTGAGGAGGAGGAGGGAAAAGAATACCAAGTAGGTCAGGATGGCCTCTTGATATAGACATCAACTTCATGGCCAGCAGATTGCAATATCAGCTCCTTGAACTAACAACGAGTAATGCGGGATACACCGACGCCAAAGCCATGCTTGCCCGGCTTCCCAGATACCACGTAACAGACATTCATACCAAAGTCTATCATACCGATATAGCTCGCTGCTCGGGGCTTGACACATCACTCCGATACAGTCGATTGTACTTTACTCTCCTATGCTTGAGTACACATGCATAACAACAATGTAAGAAAAAGGACGAGAAAAAAACGACTGCGCCGTCTCGACCGAGGCAATGAAATGGGCAATGAGGCTGAAAGTTAGTGCCATGGCGATCCATGAATGGTCTGGCCCATTACGGCATTCACTGCCGCTTGGGCGGCTCCCGTTTACAGGACGGCAAACACGGCAGCCATGTGCCGCGTATAGATAGACGTGCTTAGGTAAACCTGCACGACGCGCCCTGTCAGGATGGTGGATATATGGTATTTTTATAACGCAACTGCTGGCCGCAAAATTGGTTGCGTGTCATCGACACTACCCCAGCGAGCACGAGGGCCCAATAAACAGTTCGCAGCGAATGCAACGCTGCAATGGAAGGCTTGGGAGGCTGACGTGCTGACGTGCTTCATGCTGTCAGCACCCAACCACAAATGCGGCCGCCCACGCATACAGCGATCCCGCCAGCTCACCGGGATGATGGCAAGGCTCTCAATACACCGGGCTGGGTTGGTCATGTGAGGGTCAGTTTGCCTTGGAAGGAGATGGAGTTGTGAATTTTGTGGCATAAAAGTCTGCTTGCATTCTTTGGCCGGCACTTGCACTTTGGCGTTGCACCTCCTTGCTGATTATTGACCCTCCTTTCAATAACTCGCGTGAGATCGTCGCTGCGCGAGATTGTCACCCGGCACTTGTGGCGTCGGGTCCGCCTCTCCCCGCCTCGTCATCTCCAGCTTTTTCCCAACATTGGCGGAGGAGCGCCTTGCCGTAACGGTAAACCGCAGGACGGCGTCGCAGATGCTGTGGCGTCTCTCTATTTCTCGCTCACCTCGCTTCCCCCCTGCAACTCCTCTGCCCGGCTGCCGCCAGATGTCGTGATCATGATGGCTCGCCTGTTGTTGTTGTGCATGGGACTTTTTTTTTTTTGCTTCTTTCGCACTAGTTAGGTGAGCTGTCATTTTGCCAGCCATTCAACAAGAGACACGAAGGTAACGCTATCGGGCCAAGGCCGCCGACGTTCTCCATTTCAGGCCCTTTCAATATTTCATCTTAGCTCATTCCGTCTTTGTTTGCCCCCCTTGCTTTTTTTTTTTGGCTCCTGTTTCTTTTTTCTTTTTACTCTCCCTCCTGTTTTGCTTCTACCTATCTTTTTTACACTCCCCTAAGCGGAGCACACCTGTCACCTCATTTAACCCTTGCAACGGAGGGTTCGGAAGATCGATGCAACCCTACTGTCATCTGATCGATGGCCCCTGCCCCTGGCTACACCTGTTTCCGTCCCATAACCGCCCCGAGACCCCCCAAGTCAGTTGTTGTTCCCGCACAGCCCGGTCGAAAAATTGGGATGCCTGATGGATGGGGAGCCGGGCGCTCCTCCTCCAGTATTTGCCTTCGCACAAACGAGTTTGCGGATCAAGGAAGGGTCGTTGGGGCCGCAAGAGGTTGCTGATACACCCTGTGGGCCTTTGATGTGAAACCGCTTGTGCTGTGCTGTGGGCAGAAGCGGAGAGTCCTCGTGCATTGATGGTGGATCTGTTACGATGGATCTTTTCGACCCTGTTTTTTATTCTCCCGCTCCTTCTTTTGCTGCCGTCGTGAAAGGGTTGTCTCTCCTCCTCCCCCCCACAGCGGAACCTGTTCTGCTCATGGTCATGGGGAGTAAGGAGGCTGGCGGTGAAGACATGCCCCCTCAGTCGGTGAAGTTTGTTTCGCGCACACCGACAAAGAAGAGAAGGGATAACCCTTGGTGGACCATCCCTCCCGTTCCCGTGCTCACATCGGACACGTTGGAAGCCTGTTCCATGGAAAGAGAGAGCTCCATCACGTCTCACACCCACAAATTCCCAAATGATCCATCATCGTGGAACCTCCCTCTCCGCCGCGCTAGACGAATGTACGTGTCCTATGCGGTACAACGCGGTCATGTGCCAGTGTGTAGCCCTATCGGGCGGCTGCATCGTCGCCGAGGAAATGATCACCCTTGTTGGCCCCTCACTGCTTTTTTTTTTTTTTTGCGCTTTCGACTGGTTGCGATTGGCAGACAAGACGTCCTCTCTGAGGATGCCACGAAGCTCGCAGTAAAGTAAATTTGTTAATCTATTCCTTCCACCACAACTGCGCCGCAGCGAATGTCGTCCACGTGCATCATGTCCCAAAGTACCGCGCTGCAAAGGACATGCAGGGTGCGGCGAGGTGGTGGCTGTCAAGCGTCTTCTAGAGCGCCCCTCTCGGACGGGGCTATCTGATCCGTCCGCTTTTCCCCACGCGAGGGGGAAACAAAAAAGGTGTGTGTGTATGTAAAACAAATGCCGCGCAAAGTGAGCAACCAGCTGTATGTGTGGATGGTGTTATCGTCTATGCGTATTCATCGTCAGCCTCGGAGTTTAGTGAACCAACCACACTAGGCTACGTTGCATCTGGTTCAGTTGGGGGAGTGTGTTTTACGGCTGCATGCTCAAGTGCAAAGTGGCTTGCGAGCTAGGTCAAACGGAAGAGCAAAAGATCCGGCCTACCAGGGAAAGGCTGACGGCCTCATGCGGGCAGGGCCAGTGAATGCTGACAACTGGACCCTCAACTCGCTTCCCGTCATCGTGGCCGGTCCCGTGTGGTGACTCGCCGTCGGGTCCATTTTGCGGCTTACAGAACATAAGAGACCCAGCAGCTCGGATTGCCTACGTCCGTATGTGTGGATTACTGTATACCAATGTCCACATTATTGCAACTCGGAGCCAAAGGTGGTAATATCGCCCGCTGCTGGGGACTTTCTAGCGTCCCGAGTCCGAAATAGAATCCCTGATGCTGATGATGAGCTTCTGATATGGGCAAGGTATATGCGGTCCAGCGGCACGACAGTCGACGGGAATTGTGCGCAGCCTTGGCACACCCGCGGCGGGGAGGCGTCGGCTGTGAAGTTCAGCTCCATCTACCCGGCACCTTCCTAGTTCTTGCCTCTCCCCCATTCCACCGGCTGGCCACGACAGCCGAGCTCTCCCGATTTGGATCTGCGCGCCTCCTTCCGCTGGTTCGAGGGCTGGGCTGGTTGACGATGAGGGGGACGAACACCATCAGCTGGCGCCCGGCCTGCCCGTAATTAAGGTAGCCCGGCTGGGGATGGGTTGTATCGCATTCCGTCCAATCAGAAAGGGCGTGCCGGCAAAACGACGAGGCCCCGGTTGGCCGACCCTGGGCGTAATTTTCCCCGTCCTGTTTCCGGGGGCTCGGACCCAGCTGTCACTGAGTCAGCCCCACAGCAATGCAAGCCATCCCACGTGGAATGCAGGGGTAAGCCCAGCCCAGTGCGGGCCCCCTGAAGATCACACGCAGGTTTTTGTTGGGGGAGCAGGTCTGGAGAGGGACGGAGGCAGGCACGCACCAGCCCGTCAATGGCAGGCAAAAAAAAAAAAACCCCCCGAAATGAAGAAGAAATAATTTGCATAGCTTGGCGTCGGCATGGTGCTGCGATTGCCGCCCGAGACATGCTACTTTTCTTCGCTCAAACGCTCTGTCTAAACTAGTCGTGGTTTGGCAACACGACTGGCGCCAGGCACAGCCGAGGATGCGACTTGCACGTGGCATTGGCTCGCGACTCAAACACTCGTATTGCGGCAGGGTGGGGGGAGGGGCTGGCGACGATGGAGCAAGATGCCCCGGCACTTCGGCCAGAATGCCCGCAAACCCGCTCGCCGTCGCGGGCAGCAGCTGGATGGAGGCAGCATGTGCCAGCCCGCTCGCGCCCGGGAACCCGAATGAGCTCATCATGGCGCCGTGGCCGTTCTTGCTCTGTGCGCCCTCTCTCTCTCGGGTGCCTGGCCCCGCCCAGAAGCGCCCAAATCGAACATGGTCCCCTGGAAGGCAAGGACAAAACAGGCACGCCCCCCCCCCCCCCCCCCCAGTCGGTGAGAAGGACATGAATCAAGGATTACCGCTTTAGGCATCCCGTAAAAAGTTGGATATCGCCTGACATATGACTGACGATCCCGTGATGTGCTTACCGCACCGGGATAATGGGAAATAAAAAGAAAAGAAAAAAAAACAGCTGGCTGCCCTGACCCGACCCACCACGGAGGGGAGGGGATTGAGTGGGTTTCAGGATGTTGCTCAACTGGAGGTGGGCGCGCTCATTTTTACCGAGACATTCCGGGCAGAGGCGTCGACGTAGTGACGGCAATGGAGAAAGAGCCCTAGCAAGGGGACGCGTGGGACGCTATCGAGGACCATGCGGCGCAAAGTTGGCGATCTGGTGCCTGATTGTTTACTCGTCTGGGCAAGGCGACCGGTTCGGGACGGACGAGATTGATGTGGCGTCTTGCCGTCATCACCGACGCCAGCCACCCTACCTAGGCACCATGGTGGGGATGGCCAATATGTGATGTCCTCATCTTTACATACACATGAGCATGGTACCTACCCCCTCTCGGCTGGGCAGCCAAGACCCACCGCCAGGGCTTGTGATGCCGTGATGCCCAGCGCACCTTGGACCTTGGTTCTGTCTGTCGTCTTGGCTCTGCCGACGCTGCCTGCCGGCTCGCTTTTTAGCACAAAGAGGCGGGACGTAATCAAAGACGCAACTTTATAAGATGATGTGTTATTTATGGCCCGTTTTGGTTGTATTTACTTGCTCGCGTTTCAGTATGACAGGTGTGTAAGCAATCTAGGCCATGATGTCTCTAATGATGGGCAAACAATGTGTTTCGTAGCAATGGCGCCTCCTCACTCGGGAACGCAAACCACAGAAGGGGGAGGGTGGCTGTCAGCATCTTGTTCCTACGCGTCAATGCTGACGTGGTGCGCCATACATTTAGTGGCTGGTATAGGAAGAGGAGAAGGAGGATGAAGAGGGGGGCGGCGGCAGATATCGGCCGCCCTCCCCTGTTGCATATTGCATTATTGTACACGCGACGTGCCTCATCCGGAGCTCCGATGCGGCCGCCGCATGCAAAGATAATCCCACCAACTAAGCGGTGGCGACCCAGAGCCACGACCACCCTCAAGAAAAAAACAAAAAAAAACAACAACATTGAAGTTCACACACAAGTGGTGGGAAGGGTCATTTTCCCGCCGCGTCGTGTTGTGGCCGCCCCGCGCCATTTTAACCTATCTGCAACGCCCGTGGGGGTCGCTGTCCCGACGGAGCCGCAAGCGAAGGCGCACGCGAGGCGGGACCCTCGCTGGGCCGGAGGACGCCGCGGGGGCGGGCGGATGTGAAGGCCGGTAGCTAAGGTGCCAGGTAGTAAGGGGCAACATCACATACATACAGGCAAATACAGTAGGTAACGTAGGGAGGTCGCTATTTGTGGGACCGGCTCTTATCATTGTCCCCGGCGGCGGTGCATTGGGAGATGATGTGCTAGCCATATGCATGATGTAAAATAGGTACTAGAAATGTCGCCCAAAATAAGCATCACCAATCCCCTCCGCCCGCCGCCCTCCCTCTCTCCAGATCCCCGGGGCAGGCCCTCAAAAAGGGGGCGACGACGCAACCACCGGGTGCCCACGTGGACCACCCCTCGGCCTTGTTATCTGGCACAACACGGCAGATGCTCGGCGGGCCCTCCTCCCTCTCTCTCCCTCCCACTAGACTCCTTCTGCGGACCTTCTTCCTTCCTCTGACCGGAAAGCCGAGAGAAGTCGTGTCATCAGCGGCGTCTCGTGCACGCAATGCCACCAAGGATCCGGATTTACACTCTAGTAGCGACCTGTCCCCTTCCTAATTGCGTAGGTGACTCAACCCAACTCGGGCGGAAAGCAGATCTGACTGTGCTCTTGCTTCCTTCCGATACTACGTCGAGACGTGTCCATTAGTTCTGTAGATCAAGGACACTTTGGAGGCACTATCTCGCGCCATCCTTCCCCATAGGAGGAATGCCGTGCTGCCCGGGGAAAAGCTGCACAATGGGAACATCTTTCGGCCACTACTGCCACCCGAGACACCCGAAAAAAAACAACAACAAGAAGATCTACATACAGCCGAGAGAGGAGGGTGGGAGTGGGAGGGGGTCAGCCAGGGCGCCGGCATCATCATCAACAAGCGAACGACACACCCCCGAGGTACTTCAGGCACATGTACCGCGCATGCTCGTTTTTCTGTTTCTTCTCCTACTTCTTTTTCTACGTGCACCCCGCCACAGCCAAAACAGGACGGGAAAGCCATCGATCGGGGGGTCGCCCTGAGATGTCTTAAACCCGTGTGTGCGCCACGGCCGCCGCGCCCCTCCTCCCCTTCCTTGCGACCTCACTCTCGGCGCGGTCAGCATGCGTGGTGCATGCATGTACCTAAGTTGGGACCCCCTCCCTTTCCCCCCCCCTTTGATGATCTATCCATAATCCGCAAGAAGGGTGTGCTATCGCAAGGCTCCACGGTAGCAGTGCACGCAGTGGTGGCTTTTTTTTTCTTCTTTGCAATGGACTGATTTGCGTTTTACGAAACATTGATGCAGCCCAGGGCGGCCAGCCAGCAGGCCAACCGGACGACCCCGCCCGGACGGCAGATGGCCAGCAGGCCAGGGCCAGCGTAAGTGTGCTGGCCGCCCGCGTTCCCCTTTCCCAGCCGCCCAGCCCCCCAGCCCCCCAGTCAATCTACTTGGCCGGCCTTCCGCCCCCGCGCACCATTTTGTTGGTGATCTAAATGGCACGGCAGACCCCCTCTCTCGCGGCCCTAAACCGTAAGTCCACGCGCGCGAGTTCTCGGAGCGGTTCGAGGGCGTGTGTGATGTGACGAGCCCAGGGGTGGTTAGTGGCAGGTGGTGTGGGAGCAGTGGGGGTAGCAAGCACAGTGGATGCGATGGAGGTAATACTGGGAGCTGCGCAGCTGCGATTGAAGCTGCGGTAGCAAGAGGCGAGGTAGGGGTTGGCGTGGCGTGCTTTGCTGTGTGGATTTGGCGCCAATGGAAACGCATGCCTCTCTCGCTTGCTGTGCGTAAACGCGTAAACATGGACCCCTGCAAAAAAAGTGCCAGCCACAAGGGGAAATAAGAGGCCTGATGTTACCGTACCCGAACCAGCAGGCCGCCGACACGATTGTGTCGGCCAGCTTTTGGCTCCTCCTGTTGGCCCTTTTTCTTACGTCTGACACCCTCTCGAACCCTCTCGAACCCGCCTGGATGCGTCACGTCGGCAGACAGACACCACCAGACAGGGTCCCCAGCCGCTGAGCGACACAGCCTGGCGCCCGCTAGCCTGAGGTGCTAAGTGCGTATTTGCCGCGCGTAGAT